TTCCACTGCCACTGGATCCACAAGACTTTCCACCCACTGGCCTGTGGTCTTCCTGCATTCAGCATCATTGCATATGTTTTATGAGTCTGAAGAGGGACTTATAGACGGATATTGGACATATGGGCTAATATCAGACTTATGGACTTGATCTGAACTGGGCTGGGATGATTTCTTAATATACAATTGCTCTTTTATATAAAACTCTTTCTTATACACATATGAGTGTCTCTGGATTTGTTTCTCTGGTCAACCCAGACTAACTAACACAGCTGATCATGGAAAGGACTGCTGTTTGAGCCCACTAACCATTCTACAGGAGGAAGATGTGATGGTGTGTTTTCCATAAAGTTTTGCAGCCTTGGAACCTTTGGGGGGCAGTTGAACTCTGTCCTAAAGGGCTGCTATACACAGTGATGTCACCAGAGGTGTGTGAATGGGTCGAAACCACACCAGGCAATACTGCTAGGGCGGAGGGGGACGAAAGGGGACAGAGGGATGAAGTCAAAATGGCTGGCTATAAAAATGTGGGCTGTGTTTCAGCTGAAAGGGATTATTTTTAATAAAAATAGCCCTGTGATTACTTATGCTTGAATCCATCAACCACTCCACGGGGAAGAGGTGCCACAGCATCTGCTCCCATCAGTCTGAAGATAGACTCTCTCGGACACCCCCTGGCAGGTCTACTCTGCCCTACGTGGTCACAAGGAGGACTCAGAATGCCTTGGAGTTGTGGGGGGACTTAGCACAACAAAAACTTTTTTTTTTTCAAAAGCCCAGTTTCTAAGTATTGATATATCTGGAACTCTATGGTAATGTACTTGGTGAACCCTGGTGGCATAGTGGGTTACAAGTTGGGCTGCTAACCACAAGATCGGCAGTTCAAAAACCACCAGCTGCTTTGTAGGAAAGAGATGAGGCTTTCTACTCCCATAACGATTTAGGTCATCAGACAGCCAGAGGGGCAGTTCGACTCCTTGCTATGAGTCAGAATTGACTTGAGAGATGAGAGACGCTGTGTTCCCAGGAGCCCTGGCGGCTGAGTGGGTTACTCTCCTAGTTGGACTGCTGTCTGCAAGGTCAGAAGTTTGACCCCCACCGGCCACTCCAAGAGCGAACGATGAGGCTTTCTTAAGGACTGACGGCCTTTGGGAGCCCACAGGGGCAGCTCTGCTCTGGTTCTAGAGGACCACTTTGAGTGAGTTGAGTGGATGACCCTCTGGGGTTTATTGGGCTCCAGTCGTGCTGTGATGATTACCCAATCACAGGACCCTCTGAGTCACGTGGCTGTGCCTGCACTTGCTATGAGCCAGTCCTGCTGTACTCAGGGCTGCCAAACGCTTCCGTCAACCAGTCTGATGTTTTGGTTACAATTTTGTGGAAGGAGCAGTGGGGTGTGATTCACTCAACTCATTGCCAAGGAGTCTCGACAGACAATTTCTGATCTAGCACTGAGCAGAACTGACACTGTGGGTTTCTGAGGCTGTCATTCTTGCAGGGAGTAGAAAGCCTCCTCCTCCTCTCCAGGAGGGGCTGGTGGTCTCAAACTGCTGACCTTGCAGGTAGCAGCCCAACACGTGGGGGAAATCCAGGTGCAAAGCAAGAAGGAAGGTGTATCCCCAAAGCGGGTGCAGGGGCCAGGGCCTTGGCCAAGCAAAGCAGAGTCAGGCTGGGGGCTGGGGACTGGAGGCTGGGGGCTGGGGGGCTGGGGGTGGGAGGGATCGGCCGGC